TACTTGACATTCTCCACAGGCTCAAAGGAATCGACTGCCCGCTTCGCATTGGGCGCTCCTTCAGCGATGTCCTTCCCGATGGCTGCGATCTCCTCGGAAGCGAGGGTTGCCAAAGCGAGCGAGCAGCTCTCGACCTCACACTCATTGGCTCTTTAGAAAGAAGTGCTGATGGTGATGACCCCACACGGGTTCGACATCTTGAGCTTGAGGTAGGTGTAGTTGGGGACGGCCATGAACTTCGCGTAAAATGGTCGAACCAAAATGGCATGGTAGGATCCATGGAACCCGACTACCTCAAAGGTGTGGGTCTTTGTCCTATAGTTGGATGGATTCTCAAAGGTGATGGGCAGGTTGATCTACCCGAGTGGTATGGCCTGCTTTCCCGGCATGACGCCATGGAATGGCACCCCAGTCGGCCGAATGCGCGATCGGTCGATGTCCATGGCATCAAGTGTCTCTGCGTACATGATGTTGAGGCCGCTGCCCCCATCCATCAGTACCTTGGTGAGCTGCTTCATGCCGACAATAGGGTCGACCACGAGCGGGTACCTGCCCGGATGTGTGATGCTATCCGGGTGGTCAGATTGGTCGAAGGTTATGGGAGACCCGGACCATTTGAGAAATGCGGGCGTGGCGGGCTCGGCTTCATACACCTCTCGGCGTGTGAGCTCTTGTCGGCGCTTGGAGCCATATGCCTCTAGCCCACCAAAGATCATGAGGCAGCCATCCGTCAATAGAAAGTCGCCATCCATTTCTCCGGTGTCGTCGGCTTCTACCTCGGGCATCTTCTTCTGCTCCCATTTCTTAGAGCCGCTAGTGAAGAAATGCTTCATGAGTGAGCAGTCCTTGTATAGGTGTTTGATAGGGAAGGCATGGTTTGGGCATGGCCCCTTGAGCAGCTTGTCGAAGTGATCTAGGGTGCCCTCGGCCAACACTCGACCGGCTTTCCGCTCGGTGGTGGCCACGAGCGAGCCCCGTGCCATTTCTTGTTCCTCTTCTTGTGCGAATGGTTGGAGGGGCCCTCATCGGCGTCCTTGTTTCGCTTCACCTTGCCTCTAGAGCAATCAAAAATTACTCCAACCGCCTCATCACCAGAAGCGTGGCTGGTCGCGATGTCGAGGAGTTCCTTGGTGGTCCGTGGTCCCTTATGTCCCAACTTATGGACCAGGGACTTGCAGGTGGACCAGGTCCCTTATGTCGGCATCGGTGACATTGGGGAGCTCATTGCACTACCGGGAGAAGCATCGGATGTACTCGCGGAGAGTCTCTCCCGACTTCTATTGGTATTTCTTCAAGTCCCAGGGGTTCCCAGGGCACGTGTAGGTGCCCTGGAAGTTCCCCATGAAGATTTGCTTTAGGACCGCCCAACTCTGAATGCAGTTGGGCGGAAGGTGTTCCAGCGATGTTCGCGATGAGTCGGCTAGGAACAACGGGAGATTGCGGATGACAAAGTCGTCACTGACCGTGCCGTCGGCCCGGTAGGCGAGCCGGTAGTCCTCGAGCCACAAGCCGGGGTTCATTTTCCCGGAGTACTTCGAGATGTTTGTCGGCGGGCGGTATCGGGGCGGGAGCACCGCCTTGAGGATATGTCAGCCGAAGGCCTAAGGCCCCATCTGTTTAGGGCTAGGACTCCGGTCCTCTTCGTGGTTGTAGCGCCCGCCATGGCAAGGGTGGTAGCCACGGTCGGCTACCTCCTCTTTGTCACCCTATGCATGCCTTCAGGCATTTAGGGTGAGCCGAGCATCATGATCACGGTCGAGACGTCCTTGTATCGGGGCCATGGCGGGCCTTCCCTTGTTTTGCTGTGCCTGGTGGATGGACAATCCCTGGCGTGATGTCCCAAGGACGTGCGCTCGCTATCACCGAGCTTGCATCAATAAGACATCAAGCTTTCCGCCTGCTACACCGCCACTCGCTCGAGCAATGTGCGGATCGCTCGATGAGCTCGATGCTCATCGGGCATCGTGGCTCCATCATCCTCCAGATCTTAGCCGCCGCGGTGGCTATGTTCTGACTGGCGTGGGCAAAGTGCGGGAGGCCATCATCATCCTCGATGATCCTCCTGTGCACATCGCGGGCCACGGCACACGCGCGCTCATCGTTCGCGCGGTGTGTTATCTCGCGCTCGAGCTCCGCTCGCTCCTGCTCAAGCTAGAGTCGCACGTCCTCGACATCCTTCTGTCGTGCCCGCAACTGCTCCATGTGCGGGGCCCTTGCGTCCCCCTCAGCCTCATCGTCCTAGCCATATGGGGGAGTGGCTTCCCCACCGTGGACACTTTCGTTGTGCCCATCGTGGATTTCCGCTATGAAACATTCACGCGAGGGGTGGTGGCTCCCCCGCTGGAGTCAGAATTGGAGACGATCTCGGAGCCTTCCATGATCAGGTCATAGAAGGACTCCGAAACATAATCTGTCATGCCCACGAACTCGCTGTTCATGGCGGACGGATGTAGGTATTGCGATACCTGGTATTCGACGCTCTCTGCAGCGTTGCGGAGACCGAACGGAAACACCGACGTGGCGATCCAGATAGTGCCTTCCGGGGAGAGCGATTCTTTGCCGAAAAACTGTGCCATGACGTTGGGGAACGAGAAGAAGATGTGCAGGTCCTCCTGGGACGGTCGGGGTCCTAGGAAGGCGTTCAGCTGGTGCTCCAGCCTTTCGCCGTCGAAGGCGGTGGGCTGGTCACTCCCGGGAGCATGGGTTCCCGGGGTGTGCAGCCGTAGCTCTCCAAGGGTCTCAATGACCGCATCGAGACCGACGGCCTAAGGCGGTGTGGCAGGGCCGTTAGCCCGCGCCAGCTCTCCCTCTGTGGAGACGATGAAGTCTAGGCTCTCAAAACGCATGTGCGTGCCCGGTTGTGCATAGAGCCCCTACCTAGCGCGCCAACTGTCGTTGTTTCGAATAGCCGACAAGTAAATTTGTATATTGCGTGTCTGGCCCGGATGGTGTGCTAAGAGGACACAAGGATTATACTGGTTCGGGCTGAATATCCCTATGTCCAGTTTCAGGCTACTCGTGTTACCAGTACCTAGTTTGTAGTAGGGGATACAAACTGGCGAGAGAGGGAGAAGCTCCTAAGTCTCTGAGACGTGGATTGGATGAAGTGGAGTTGAAGTGCTCTGGTTGGCTGTGTGAGCGTGTTGAGGCTTCGAAGGTTCGATTGCTCGATGTCTCTATTGATCGATATATCAATTGATCGATCTCTCCCCATTGAACGGTGTCATGCCTCCCCTTTTATAGACCAAGGGGAGAGAGCAGGTTACCAGAGAAAGAGAGAAGAAAAGAGGAAAAGAAGAAAGAGAAAAAAGGCTCCCATGTTGTGTCGTCCTCCTCTTCGCGTGGGTCCCGCTGACCCTATAGATCGTGGCGGAAGTGGTGCCATGCTGGAGTCCTGTTAGCCGCTGCAGCACATGTGCGGGCGTCGTGCGCCGGTCTTATCGTCCATCTCATCTGGGCAGATGGTATGGACAAGGAATCCCCTGACAGAGGCCATACGTTGATTTGGCGGTACAGTGCCAGTCGACTGACGTTGGACGGAGGTCAGGCGGGGAGTTGGCAGCACAGTGCTCTCCTGTTGAGGTCGTGGGTGACGTGTGTCTTCCGGCATGGCTGTCGTGGCGATGAGTCGTATCGAGACGTGCGCAGCCTTCCCATCTGTAGTGGTTGGTGACAACCATTGCCCATGTTGGGCCGATGCTTCCTTCCGAAGGCGAGCCCGCGCCCTCGGGGTCAGGCGAGGCGGAGTCTGCGCCCTCGGGATCGGGCGAGACAGAGACCACGCCCTCAAGGTCGGGCGAGGCGGAGTCTGCGCCCTCTGGATCGGGCGAGACGGAGACCCCTCTATGGGGTCAGAAAGACTATAGCTTTCGTCTTTAACCGTTCAGGCGAGTTAGAGTTTATGTCTGCTAAACTCCTTATGCCGGGTATCCCTAATATTGATATCCGATAGCGTGTCATGTAAAACCTTTTTTCATATAACTTCCAAATTAAGAAAAAATATTCAAATACAAAGTTGTAGATCTCTTCGGACCTACAAATTTTGTATAATGTTTGTCTCCATATGACTCTCTTCGAACAAGTAATGAATTTTTTAATACAAACTGATATATAAATTGCAATGGTGGGAAATTGGCCTTGGATATTGCAATACAATTCACCATAGATAATGAGAACGGCAACAACAGCCGTATAGATAGTCATTGGTGTATCTATTCTACCAGATAATAACAATTGGATGGCTTACAATCGCTGATTTTTCTTGCGCACTGGCATGGATTTGCCGCACTGATTACTGTTTTGCTAGTGTTTGCCTAATCCAGCATTGCAAGTTCTATGGAATTCGTTGTCAAAAACATATATTTAAATGAACATCTTTATAGCTAATGGAACTTCTATATTCACAACTATTTTTAACATTAAGTATGTACACCTTAAAAATTGTTTCGTGGATCTTACATATTTCTCAATGAACACAAATATGAGGAGAGGGAATATGTGAAAAATTTATTGTCACATCAAAAAAGATTGTCATCTACACTGGAATAATACCATATACACTGCGTCTGTTTTCCCAACTGTGAAAGGAGAGATATAGCGACGTGAACTATGTATATGTGGGTCAGTGACTCGTGTTCAGTAATTGCTTTATGCATTTCGAATCACGTAATAGTGACAATATTAATTATTCCATATTATTTTAAAACTAGATTCTTCAGAAGCGACTATTTTATTAGTGGAGTAGTGATGCTATATTAGCTAACACGCTTTGGGAAAATAAAACTAATCTAAATACTAACAGAGGTCAAGGGATTTGAGAGATTTTTCACCCAAGAAGAATTAATGTAATGCAAGAAACATATAATATTTGACTAGTTGTGATTAACGAATTTATCAACAAATTTTTATTTCTTATGTAATATAAATTTCTATGCCGTGCTGGAGCATGGGTGCTGATGGGATAGTGTGTCATTATATATATGTGGGCTAGCAATTTGTTTTTAACAATCACTCTTTGGGTTCCTACTTAGGTAAGAGACGAATGGACACTATCACAATAATCAGAAATGTGTCACTTTTTAATTTGTATTAAAAATAGATGGCGGAAAGTTAGTTATATATTGTTCTAAATAGCATCGCAGTGACAGTAAACTAAGGGCATGTTTGGATCTCCTATTCTAAACTTTAGACCTCTAAATAAATTTTAGAGCTAAAGTACCAAACAGGTGGTCTAAAGTTAGCTCTAAACTTTAGCCCACCTCATATTAGAGTATTAGACCTCAAAAAAGAGCTAAAGTGCTCGAAAGTTTTTAAAGATGTAAAGTTTAGAGGTGAGGATCCAAACATGCCCTACACTCTTTAAAAAAGGCAGATAATATAGTAAGTGATGGATGTTAATAAGAGGGCAACATATCAGGTGCAAACTAACCAACCTGTACAATTAAACTTGGAAACTATCAATCAGGACCACTAAATGCTGATCCAATGAATGGGGTGAGGGGGCTTAAGCGCAAAAAAAAAAGACCGGCGGGTGGGGGGCTTAAGCGCAAAAAAAATCTCACCTCTCACCCCATCCATTGGATCAGCATCTAGTGGTCCTGATCAGGTTGGTTGGTTTACACCTGATACGTTGCCTAATAAGAGAGAGAATGGAGTTTCTCAGCCCAAAAGCATAGAAGACAAGAAACACATACCATCATCCTGGATGGCTGCTGCTCCTGGTGGTGGCAGCGGCGGCGGCAGTGGCGTTGGTGGTGGTGGTACCGCACGGTGCACCGCAGCCCTAAGATCCTGGCGCCCTTCGTGTTAGGGATGAATTGGTTTGGCATCAGCGCAATTGCCGCAGAAAGGCACCCACGGCACTCCCAAGGCTCCAGGTCAGCACTGCACGACACCATTCCGTAGATATTGGGGTATGCCGCGTCAAAACCAATGGCTCCAGACACGAACTTGTTCTGTAAGTCTGCGGTAGCAACGTAATCGGCCATGGCATTGAGGAGCTTGAAGGCGGATGTGCTGAACTGGTCGACTTCGTTGGAGGTGATGTTCTGACCGTTGTAGAGCAACACCTCCTGGTCCTGCAAGTTGGTGGGGGAGACGAGCAAATCTTGTTCGGAGAAGCCGAGGAGGCACGTGTCGTAGAAGATGGCCACACGCCTGTTGTATGGACACATCTTCTGCGCCTGCTCAAAGCTGGTCGCGATGCAGTCGTGGCAGGCAGTGGCGCTCTGCTCGCCGATGCATTGCCCGATGGTGTAAACTGTATTGGGCGCCGTCCCGGTTGTGGCGATGGCGAAGAGGGTAGGCGACGTGGAGACGTTGTTTGGCAGGGCTACGGCGACCAGGCGGAGGTTGCCGCCGTAGGTGCTGTTAGCGGTGTATGTCCCGGAGCTGCTGCTGCAGGCTGGCCATGGTATACCAGCCGCCAGCGGTGGAGTGAGGGCGATCAGCAGGCCAGCAACCGCGTAGCTAGCCCACGGCATGGCCGCGCATGCCGTTTGTTTCAAGTGGATTGTTGGCGAGCGTGGCCGGCCGCAACTGATGATGAGCGAGGAGAGAGTGCAGCAGCAGTGCACCTCAGCTAAACCTGATAAGACCGAAGATGGTGGGAGAAGGTGGACGAGAGGATGAGGTTGTGGACCTTGGGGTGGGGAGGAAGCCAAGTTGGGAGCTCGGAATGCGTGGTGCCTGCAACGACTTGACTTCGCTACCCCAACCACAAGTCTTCCATGCTACCGGTTCCAGGGAGACTGCTGGGCTAGTCTTTCCTTCCTGCCGTTTAGTGTCAAACAGGCACAGTTAAAATAATGCCGTGCAGGATAGGGGATCGCCCAGCGTCACATATAGGTACCGTTCAAATGGGATACTAGAATCCCAAATTCTACAATCCCTGCTATCTAGGTTTGGATGGCATTATGAGATTATGGCATCTTTTCTATGAGATTATGACATCTTTTCTATGAGATTCAAAGAATCTAGCTGGATTAAAACGGGTCCATAATATGGATATCTAAGATGATTCTTACAGTAGTGGGCCCCATGATATGAAAGGACTAAGCGGTCCAGTCAATAATGAACCCTTTCTGTGGTGTGCCTACAGTCGCACGTCATGGACAACCGTGGAAGTCTTTTATCGTACCAGATATTTTATGTCAAAAAAAATACTTTTGTAAACGCACAGTTAAATGCCTGATCGAGATGGCTGGAGCAAACACTAGACGACCTTTTTTACAGGACAGGCCGTTAGAGTGACCGGTCGTGCAGTAGGAGTGCATGGCAGTGGCACCCACCGCTAGTGACCGGCTATAAGTAGATTTTTAAAGACAAGCCATATTAGAACCGTCATGCACTACGTAAAAAATGGTTTTTAGCAACGGTTTGATTTTTTTCGGGGCGGCTGGTGATGGAGACGCCCCTACAGTGGCGTGCTTGGGTGTCCAGACACCAGCCGCCCCTACAAATGGAACAGCAGGGGCGGCTGGTGTTACGAGCCGCCCCTACAAATGGGGTTTGATTTGTAGGGGCGGCTCAATCACCAGCCACCCCTGAAAATGCTATTTGTAGGGGCGGCTGGTGATTGAGCTGCCCCTACAAATGGCCCCGTATTTATAACTCCGATTTGTAGGGACAACTCAATCACCAGCCGCCCCTACAAATGCCCCCTATATAAAACAGATGCAGCACCTTCTTTCTCCTCGGGTCACTCACTCTAATCCATGAAAGAAAGGTGGGGAGGCCTTGGGCACCTCTCAAAAATTAATCTACTAAGGGGGAAGGTTTTGGTCTTAAATCCTTTGGTGGAGAGGTTGTAGAAGGTAAGAAAATGTTATTCCATACTTTTTTTAAGTTTTAATGGTTGGTTAGTGAGTAATTAGAGTTTTATTTTTATCTCTCTTCTATAATGCTTGAGCTATTTATGAAGCAAATTAGGCCCAACTTTTAAATGTACTAGGGTAAATTAGGGAGGAGAACAAGATCATACCCTTATTTGGTTCATGTTTCTTGATTTTAGTGAACAATTAGTTAGTTTTATGGATGTTTCATGTGCATGTGGATCTAGATCTAGGGTTTAGTTTTTTTATTAATTTTGTTTTTGTAAATTTATGTTTGATGAAATTGGACTAGGGTTTGTATGAAAGATATTGGGTAAAATATAATTGTTGCTAATTGTTGTCTTTGAAATTATTTATTGTAATCAATAAATATGTATTTTAATTATTTATGGATAAATGGCCCGTTAATTTATGCTTCATGTAATTATATTAGATTTATATTCATATATATATCTGAAGTATATACAATTATTCTCAAGTAATTATTAATTTGTTTTATTTTTATATATATCTGAATAAGTAGTCCTTTAATGTTTGTTTTGTTGTTGTTGTAAAAGATGGAGTACAGGAACTCTTGGATGTATGATTCGTTAAGGTTCAAGGCAGGTTTCCGTGAAGAGGTGGATAAATTTATTGAAGCCGCAAAAAAACATGCAACGACATTGAAAGAGAATAAGGATACAATTATATGCCCATGTAAAGATTGCAAGAACCGTATGGCATGGACATATGTGACTATCATCAGATCACATTTGATTATATGAGGATTTGTTGAGGACTACACAGTGTGGATTCATCATGGTGAAATGGTTATTGTTAACGACGAGGATGAGGAGGAATACGATGACGAAACCATAGAATCCCTGTCCCAATATTCAGCAGAGCTTGATGCACGAATGGATTTCGAGTTTGGCAATGAACAAGGTGGTGATGCTGGTGGTTGGGATGGTAACGATGAAGGTGGTGCCAATAATGATGGTGGAGCACGTGTCGGGGATGAAGATGATTTAGAGGACATGATTCGAGCCCTTGGACCAGAGATTTTACTAAATAGCCCGAAAGGTCTAGAAAATTTGGAAATGGTGACAAAAGCATCGAAGGAGACTGTGTATGGTGTTGAAAAGGGTTGTCCGACACATTGTACATTGCTACGTTTTGTGCTTGAGCTGCTCATCCTGAAGGCTAAGTACGGCTGGTCAGACTGTAGTTTCAATGATCTATTACATCTCCTGTCATGGGTGCTGCCACAACCAAACTCAGTTCTCACCAACACATACCAAGCGAAGAAGGTCATAAGTCCATTGACAATGGGGGTTGAAAAAATCTATGCATGCCCCAACCACTGTATACTTTTTCGTGGCGAAACGTTCAAGTCACTGGATAAATGTCCCCGGTGTGGGGCCAGCCGGTACAAGAACAATGACCTTTACGGTGGGGACAAACCCTCCACGGGGAAAAAGAGGAATAAGAAGGGTACCAAAAGGTGGTACAAGAATCTCAGCCCCTAGAGGACACTCCATTAGGCAACGATGCAAAGCAGAGAAGAATTCGTGCCCTAGTAATGTGCTACCTGCCAGTGACCGACCGCTTGAGACGTATCTTCATAAACCCTAAAGAAGCCGCACTCATGACATGGTGGGATGATGAGCGCAAGATGGATGATGATAAGATTGCACACCCGGCTGATTGTAGTCAGTGGCAAAGGTTTGACGAGAAGCATAAAGAATTCAGCGATGACCCAAGGAATGTACGGTTTGTCTTGAGCACCGATGGAATGAATCCCTTCAATGAGAGGATGAGCGACCACAACACATGGCCAATGATCTTGACCATGTACAACATCCCAACATGGCTATTTCAAAAGAGAAAGTACCTTCTCCTCACTATTCTTATTTCTGGCCCTAAACAACCAGGCATTGATATAGACGTGTTCCTCGAGCCCTTGATGCAAGAAATGGAGAGGCTATGGAGGCATGGGGAGCAGATGTACGATGCGTTCCGAAAGGAGGACTTCATATATAGAGCAATAATATTTGTTACTACCAATTATTACTCCGCGCTGTTTGCTTTGTTTGGACAGATCAAAGGGAAGACGGGTTGCTTGGTTTGCTTGGATGGTACTACATGGGTGTACCTGGATGCATCCAAGAAGATAGTTTACCTAAGGAACCGACGCTTCTTAAAGATAAGTCACAAGTACCGCAGCAAATTGTTCTTTAGATTTTATGACAACGCCCCGGAGATTGAATCCCCTCCGGAGAGACGTCATAACGGAGAACATATGTACAGAATGGTGAAAAACATACGCGTCGTCTATGGAAAGAAGAATCCGGATGGGACGAACAGAGATAGAAGCACACCTCCTGTTGAAGGCGTACCTTTCAAGAAACAATCGATCTTTTTTCAGTATCTGCCTTATTGGCCAGACTTGGAGGTCCCCCATGCCATTGATGCTATGCACGTACAGATGAATGTCTTTGAGAGTCTTATTGCTACCTTGATGGACACAGGCAAGTCAAAGGATGGTCTGAAAGCATGGAAAGACATGGTGCAGCTAAACGTGATGCCACAGCTTCACCCGGTACCTGAGGCTAATGGAAAATACACTCTACCCGCGGTGTGCTTCAACCTAACACCAGACGAGAAGAGAGCTATATACACTTTCCTGAGAGGGATCAAAGTCCTGACTGGGTTTTCAGCAAATGTGAAGAAGCTAGTGTCGATGAAGGACTTGTCAATAACACACTGAAGGCTCACGATTGCCATGTGATGTTGACAGTATTTCTACCTATTGCAATCAGGGCTATAAAGCCAGAGTTCTTGAAAATGGCCATCACCCGCATGTGCTACTTCTTTTTGAAGATCTCAGAGAAGACGATTGGCAAGGAAGAGCTGAGTGACCTACATGAATTTGTAGTGGAGACACAAAACCAACTAGAGATGTGTTTACCTCCTGCTTTTTTTGATATAATGCCACATCTCATGATTCACATGGTTCATCAAATACAGGCGCTTGGCCCTTGCTACTTGCATGAAATGTGGTCCAATGAGCGGTTCATGTCGGTTTTAAGTCGATACGTGCATAATCGAGCATACCTAGAGGGCTCCATGATAGAGGGTTACAGTACTGAAGAAGTCGTCGAGTGCTGTCAAGAGTACCTAAAATAACAGAAAGGGATTGGTAAAACCGATTCTCGTCACAAGGGTAGGCTGGCTGGGAAGGGCACCAGTGGTAGAAAAGTGTTCATCGACCATGATTACAAAGATGTGAGTCGGGCGCATTACAGTGTCTTGCAGAGTACACAACTGATGCAACCGTATATTGATGAACACTTGGCTATCATTATGGCGGAGAGAAATGGCCGTTCGGATGATTGGGTCATGAAACAACACAAGCAACGACTAACTACATGGTTGAAGGACCAAAACATACCGCCTGGAGAAACCATAGACTCTATTACCATCAGTAGGTTGGCGGAGGGGCCATCGAGACAAGTGACATCTTGGAATGCTTATGACATCAATGGGTATACGTACTATACCCACACAAAGGATAGTAAATATGTGAACCAAAACAGCGGCGTTCGAATAGAGGCTCTCGATGGATTAGGGTGAAAATCCAATACTTTGGCATCATTGAAGAGATATGG